TCTTTCAAGGAAGATATGCAAAGAGTCTTATTCAACGGTTTGGGATGCAAACTAGCAAAACTGCTAGAACACCAATGAGCATGACCACTAAGCTATCAAAGGATGAGAGTGGAGATTTAGTTGATGAGAAGCTCTACAGAGCTATGATTGGAAGTCTACTATATTTGACAACAAGTAGATCTGATCTCTGCTTCAGTGTTGGTGTGTGTTCTCGATACCAGGCGAATCCAAAGCATCTCACTTAAATGCAGTCAAACAGATTCTGAAGTATGTCAAAGGTACAACTGATAAAGGGTTATTTTACACTAACCAAACTAATCATAATTTAGTTGGTTTTTGTGATTCAGATTGGGCAGGAAACCTAGATGATCGAAGGAGTACTTCTGGTGGGTGTTTCTTTTTGGGGAACAATTTGATTTCATGAGATAGTAAGAAACAAGCGTGTGTGACTCCATCAACTGCTGAAGCAGAGTCTATTGCAATAAGAAGCTACTGTACTCAACTTCTATGGATGAAACATATGCTAGGTGACTATGGTATGGATTCTGAAACCTTTGCTATCTACTGTGATAACACATGTGCCGTCAATACTTCAAAGAATCCAGTTCAACATACTCGTTTTAAGCATATTGACATACGGCACCATTTCATTTGTGATCTTGTTGAAAATAAAACTGTTGAAATCACCCATGTTACTTCTGAACAACAGCTAGCTGATATCTTCACTAAACCCTTGGATTTGGACACTTTTATGCATCTAAAAAAGTCCATCGGTTTATGTGAACACTAATGTGCAGCTTGATTAGAAGTGCTGCAACAGATTCTCTGTACAAAGAAGCAGAATTTCTATCTTTTACTTATATTAAGCTTAATACTCTTGCTAGCTAATCTTTCAGGTGATAAACTATCTCTCTCGAGTTCCAAATTGAAGAGGTTCCAGGTGGTGTGAAAAAACCAGAGGGAAAACTAAAAAAAAAAAATTTTGAAAAAAAAAAATAGAATAAAGTGTACTTGGTAGGAAAGAGATTGATGTTCTATCTCTTTGTTTTGGTTAATAAAAATTACAGAGTTCTGTTCTTTGGCTACCTCGAATCTGTTGCTTTTACTTCTTCTGAAACCACTGAGGTGCTAACTTTCCATTGGAACGTCCATCATGTATATTCGCTGCTAAAATTACTCAGTCTAGCTTGTTTGTCTTGGATGGAAACGGTGCTGTGAATTACTTGTTTCTCTATACATCAAGTTCTGTGTCTATTAAGTGGGTGCTCTCTGTCAATTATATTCATATTGTTGTTTCAAACAAAAAAGGGAGAAACAAAAATTTTAGTTTATGATCTGTGTAAGATTAGGGCATGTGTTATCGGTTTTTTTTGGCATGAGGCTTCCATGAATTGTTAATGGGCTGAGTATCTGCAATTTATTTTTGGCCTAGTGTAGTTTAAATGTGTGTGTTGAGTATTACAGTTGTCTCTCGAGAACCACGCCTACAAGCTACGAAAGCAAGCTCAACACGCCAGTTTCGTCTCTTTAAGTGCCTGTGAAAGAACTAGAACCTTGAAAGTACTACAAAGATACAGAAATTTCTTCAAACTTGGTTTTATTAGCAATCTTCAAACAACTCTTTTACAAGCTTGTTTGATCAGCGTTAACCAACATCACACACTGTGATTTGGCCCTGATCGATTCCTAATCTACCCAACTTACAAGCACATCAACAGCTATGCACACTCTTTTGTTCACTCACCAAAAGAACCCACAACAAGTCTTCGTTTGAAACTCAGATATGAACACAAAGAACTCTCACACTTTTTCTTCTTAAAGTGCTAACCCTAATAAGAAGAAAGTTCTCTTCTTATATAGGCATCAAAACAACTCGCAGGTCCTCTCTTTATCCAGCGGACACTGCGCAGCTTCTTGTCATGACGTTGACTTCACTAGCTTCCCACTAGCCAACAACAACCACCTTTTGTCTGACAACTTTACATGCTTTTTGTTGTAGCTGTCACTCCTGCCCTTTGACTTCGTTACCAACGCTGGGCACCAAACGTGCTGCTTCTCATCACGATCGAAGTGTTGCGCTGTCAACAAGGTGCCAGCGTGGCATCGTGCTTCTAAGAGTCCTTCTGAGCATTTTCAGGTTCTGCAACTGTTGGTCCTTCAGACACTCTGTTTCTTCAATCTCCCCCTTTTTGTCTGAGTATGTGCCTCAAGCTACCTGCACACGAACAAACAGACACACGCAGCAAAGGCAATACAAGATACAACAGTTTCGTTCCAAATTGATCCAGAGGACTTAGAGAAGGATAGATTAAGAGGACAAGGTTCAGCACATACAATCATTTGAAACAAGCACAGGTTTCAAATACATTTAAACATGGATAATTCCAAAAACATCAAACACAACTCACTACTCCCCCTAAACAGAAGATCTACTGATCAAACTAGTCACTATCCGCAGCATCAAGGTTGTCGCTTTCTGTGTGCTCCTTAAGTTTACGAGTACATACATCAACATATTCTCCCCCTGCTTGAGTGCACAGACTCATATAAAAAACAGGTGTGAAACAGAGAAGTAGACTAAGAACAAGAAGGACTTACTTGAGAATCGTTGCATGATGGTCGTAGCAGAGTGAGCTAGATGTGCAAGATCAGCAGCCAAGGTCAGTGAGGGACCAGATGTAGGCGCAGCCGCTTCCGGGGTCACAAACATTGTAGGAGTAGAGGACAAGACATCACCAGTCAGAGAGGGAATAACCCGCTGAAAACGTAACAGCTGATCAATCAGGTTGGGGAAGATTAAACAATCAGTCGATGAGGCAGCACCCGAGCGAGATGCACACGAACGAATCTCATCAAACACGATCTTTCCAAAGTTTAAGCGCTCCCCTTTGGCAATTAAGTAAAGAAGAACACATCTGTCAGGGGACAGAGCACGATGATTCGTGGAAGGTAACCAGTTGAAACAGCTGATTTGATGAAGAACAATTATGATATCGCCAAGAAGACCGGTTGACACTTCAGCCACAGTTGACACTTGCCCATCAGTAAGGAGAGCAGCCACAGCATCAAGATCTCCGAAGGCCCGAAGTTGAGATGTATTCAAAGGATATGGCTCATTTGGCAGTTGGAAGAGGCGATTGATGAGAGACGGTGAGAACTCATACATAGACCCTCTAACAAAGACTCTGAGAACCTCAGAGTCACCACCTTCAGCCTCCGGAAGATTTGCATAGAATTCCTTGACCACCGTTTCGATGAAACTGTCAATTTCGGTAACTGTTGGAAGAAGGTCTGCCCTGAACAGGATGGAACGAACATCATCATTTTGTATTTCAGCCGATAGAATCTTCATAGGGATGAAGTCTTGACCATGGAGAAACTGGAATCGCTCTGCAGCGTGAGCAGAGATAAACCGAGACGAGAAAATGGGAGTGGCTGGTCTGTTTAATTTAGGAAACCGTCTAATCAGATCGGCAATGCGACGTCGTTGCAAGATGTACCGGTTGAGGAATTCCGGTGTAGGAGATGACTCAGTAGTATCATCAGAGAGATGAAGTTGCCCTAACGGAACTTGGGCTTCTGAAACGTCAGGAAGACATGCAGAATATGAAAGGGGAACTTGAGCGGAGGAAAGACGGCGCAAAAACCGAGCAAGAGCAGGATAGACTTCTGGGGAAGGAGGAACGACTTTAGATCTCGATTTCTTTGCAGGAGGTGCACCAGTTTTGACACCAGAGAAGAGAGGAGGAATCGCATGGCTTGTCGTGGCAGCGGAAGTCGGATGAGCAGAGGACGGTTGCGATTGACCTGGTCGAGACCCATCGTTTGGTTGGGACATGTTTGCAGATGACCAAAGAGATTATCAGATCTGAAGGAAGTAGCCGCTTTAATTGTTGTGGAGAATGGGAGCAAAGGATATAGACGATGTCCTTATAAGTTGCAACCCTAGTGTACCTGAACAGTACTCAACAAACAGATCAAATTCACACAGAACCAATTAGGCCCACGGATAGGCCCAACCATGGCCCAACACGAGATACAAAATACATAAATACTTATGCAGATAAGAACTGAGCCAGAATAACCACCAGAGACACCCTTGGAGATACACTGACAGGAAATGTAAACAACAGCAGTAAACACAGAATCTCAAGGATTGATGATACACACCTGAGTTCAATTCTCAGACTATATGTAAAGATTCCTTTGGACAGGGGTGCATAGCTGTTTACGTCTTGAGTTACTCGGAAGACAAAGTCTTTGCAGCCCAATGAGATGAAACATACACATTGATCTCTTCAGGCTAGTTTACACTCAGCATACTTCTTTAGATTTCATCCTCAAGATGTGTAGGAGCTGCTCTCACGGCGAGGGGGGTGATATGAGCATCCCTTTT